TCTTCTGTTGACACAACAGACGGTGCCAAAGTTTGGAAGGCGACAACAGAATACAAGCGTTCTGTTACAGTCGACCCACCAAAGACTGTGACATCACCAAGTTCAAAAACACATGTTAGACATAAATCCGACACCTATGTTCCCAGTGTTTATCAAATGCCATCAGACGATGAAAAGAGCTCAGAAAGGCGGAAATCTACTAACCTTGACGATGCTCTTAATGAATTAGAAGCTATCTATAACAGCTTAGGTTTAGGAGACGAAGATTTATTAGATAGAGCCGAACGTCGAGAGTTAATGACTCCGAAGTTCAACGACCATTTTAATGACTGGAATGGAAACGATGACGAGATTCAACTGCGAAGTCAGCCAACGACGCCTTTGAGACGTGTGCAAAGAAGGTCGACATTACCTGACAAGTTGCAAGATGATATGGCATTTAGACGAATGAATTCCTTAACGAAGGAAAAACCTAATTATAAAGATGCACAAGCACAAATAAGCTATATGTTGGCATCGCCTGTCTACGTGCCCTATGCGTCTGACGATGACAGGCAGTCCGAACGAAACGAGCCAGATATAGTTTACGATGACGTTGTTTACCGAAATATAAAACAGACTAATAGTCGATTAAAGACTCTAGATCCTCAACCGCCTTTTGGCATACCAATAGGACCGGTTTCACCTGCCCCACAAAGTGATTATCTTCACGCAACTCCTGAAAATAAGGGCCGATCACGATTTGTCCCAAGGAGATCACCAGATTTAGTTTCTGATGATTTAGCTTATAGAAGTCTAAGAAAGGACAATCGGCATTCTTCACATTTCAATGGTGAAGATTATACCGGTGTTATTAATAACAATCATTCTTATAATGAGTATTCTTACAATAAAGACACTGCCGCTAATCTTAAGAAGAAGAGAGCCGTTAGGTCTCTTTCCGCTAATATATTTACGATGATACAAAAAGAAATCGACGATGCACTGAACATGAGTAAAATGGCTACGTTACAGAAAACGCATAGTAATAGTGACGTCATGAAACGGCTGCGTAACACATTCGAAAGTAATGACAACGAGCAGGACCACTACCCGCGTAATAAGGTAAAGCAAAGACACAACACTGTCAGTCTATTTGTTAATAACACCCATGCACCCACCCATCATTTTGCAAAAGACGATTCATTCATTCATAGTGATGATAAGCATCTTGCTAAGCCACCATCATGTGATAAGTCCAAAAGCTCATCACCATCAAACAGATCTCCCCAAGCATCGAAACGTTCATCAAAGGACGAGTTTCAACAGGTTCTTAGTATGCTGGCCCAAGAAGCTATGGACACAAGTAACAAGTTAGGAGTAGCATTAGCAGAACTAGATAAAAATAGGAACAGTAATGAGAAGAAATCAGATGTTCAGAGTCGAATTTCTGATAGTCGGCAAACCTTTTTAAATGGATTAACATGTAAATCTTTGGAAGAGCCGGCGCCTGAAGTGAAGCTTGTTAATGTTCATTCTGAAGTTGTTGCTGAACCAAAAGATGATAAACCAGTGACGTCCACATACATAAATGAAACCAATGAAGATTCCAAAGGTAAGAAAACTGAAGATAGTCTTCTAGCAATATCAGATCAGCTGCATAAAGTTGAAGATCAACTCAAGCACAGTTTCGAAAAAGAGCTTAACTTCGAAGACGAAAGTTTAAAACTTTCTAATTACATAACAAAAGCTGAAGAACAATTGAAGGCTCAAGAAACCACGGTTGTGATACCAGAGACTAAATTGATACCTGACGTTATCCCATTGACTATAAAAGAGGACGCGATAAAGATAGAAGCGGTTACCGAAAAACAAGATGACATCGAACTGAAACCACCAATTATTAATTCACTAAATCCATTTTTAAATACCGACGACAAAATCAAAGAAATTAATGAAATAAACGCTTTTAAGGAATTGAAAGATGGAATATCTGATTTAATCGCTGGTATTTGTCAAGTTAATGAAAAGTTATTTACACAAAATAAAGGACCAAGATTGGATAATAGTAATACTAATCCAGAAAAGATATCTGGAATAACAGAAGCCACTGAAAAGTTGAACCAAGTGTCACAAAGTATATGTAGCCAAGAAGTTCCTAATAGGGCTTCCGTTAATCTTTCTATATACGAAGACGATTTAGAAACCAAAAAGGATACGGCTGCTGACTCAACAGAATATAATTCCTCGGAAGAACTGGCGACGATATTTCAGTTAGACAGTAACGCTAAATCGCAGACTGTCAGCGAAAATCAGAACGGATCCGAAAATAAAATTCGTAACGATTTAAGTTCGCCCAAATTGGTTCAGACTATGAATCAGCAGCTAAGAAGGTTGTCTGTAGACCAGACGGATGATTGTGCTCCTAGTCAAAGCAACTCACTGCCGACGAACGTGGTTCCCTGGAGAATTAAGAGGCAAACTAACAATTCACAAAAAGAAAATCGAGGTACGTGGTCCATTCTCATGCATGGTGTATGGTTTTCACTGTAATCATTTGCATCTTGCTTTTTGTTATCATTTTGTGTTTCACGACCCCGTTTTTTTAGTTGCCTGTACTAACTAGTTTTTTTATAGTATGCGTTGTTTTTGTTGTTTCGACAGGCGATAATGCGCAGTCGAAGCGCGATTGGCACGACTCTGGCACGTTGATGTTAGCTTGTACCTACACGATGATGTTCTCCCAACACCTGGCAGACTTGGACTGGTTGACGCTGCTCGGTTTGCTGCTGGCAATGATCACAATTATCGCTATGCTAATTATATAACATAACGTAGAAATAACAATGTGTTAATTGTAACAACGAAATTCCTAAATAGAGATGTGTCAATTTACCAACCAATGTAAACTATTTCGGTTGAAGATAGGTCAGTTGTGTCGTAAAACTGAAGGAATGCCAGTATTCAATACTTAAATTCAATACTCAATATTACTTTACAGACTTCAAAAACAGACAGTTGTCTGTTTTTTCAAACGTAGTTTATAAAAAATTGTCTACTTATTTCTCTTCAGCTTTATAGAATTGGTTGACTCATTGACGCATCTCAATATTTACACGCATTTAATGGCTTAAAAAAAATCACCAATCATTTAAATTTTTACCGTTGTAATAATAATAATTATCTGTATAAAAATAATGTAGAAACTGTATCATTATCATTTTCTAAATTGTAATTATTATTAGAAAATTTAGCTGTGATGTTTATAAAATTTTACTTTTACCATAGTCTAAATACCTACTCATTGGACTGTGCCTTTATTTTTAATGATTTTAAGCTTCATTTTTATTTTATGTGTAAATTCATTTTACGTTAGACCTTGTGTGCCAAAAACAACGATAGAAAAGTCGTTTTGGATTATTAAATGTTGAAAGTATGAAATCGCATGTATTCTAATAATATTTTTTGGTAGATTTGCATGTTCGATGTGTATTACGTTTTTTTGTGCTTAAAAAGTATGTCATCCAGCGATTTTACAATCTTTTTTTTTAATTAGGTTTAGTGTTGTAGTTTAATCACGAGAGACTAATTATTTTTATTACTTACTATAATGTAAGGCCTTTAGTGTATTTGGCATCTACTTACGTTAATACGCCCATATTATAATACTTTCGTATTTGTTAGTTACCTATTTCCGATTTCATATAAGAAAAACGTAATTGAGCTGTAATAAATGATCATTGATGTTAAACTGGGTCAACATAACATAAGGCCACAGATAAAATAAGTTAATAAAAACATTATGCTTATAATTATAACATAGAAGAATATTTTTATAACCCAGTGAAATTTTGTATCGAAAATAAATGAAATTTTATGGAAGCAAAATCAATATTGTAAATTATACTTACTTAACCTAAGAATAAAACATGAAAAATAGTGTAAATAATAATTCAAGTCTCGAAAATTGGCGCGAAAATAAAAGTAAGGTTATTCTGTGTAGTCTATGGTGCAGTAACACACAATTTGTTTTCTAGGTGACCAATAATTGCCTGCAGTGATCCACAGGGTGGCTACGTTCTATTCAGCCTACTTCGATATTTTTAAGCTATTTTTAATTTTTATCTAAGCTACTTTCTGTATTTTATCCTGTACCTAGTTGTACGACATTTAAACTTTACTATGTTTATGTAGAGGCTTCCAGAAACATTTAAGAGAGCGTTATTTATATTAAAAAAGAGTTATAATTTAAATAAAATGTTTCAGTTTTATTTGTTGTTTCATTACTTATCCCAAAATAGAATTGACAAATTAACTAACTATATAAAAATTAAATCATTCGACACTAAGTAAATACTATTAATTTAATATTCTAAAATACAAAATGATCTTGGTTCGATTCCCTGATCGGAATAATGAGCGTCTAGTAAATACCTGTTGAATTTTCGATTTACCCTTGAAAATTTATAGGTAAGTACCTTGTGAATGGTAATCGGTTAGATACCTTGCTAGGTAGTAGTCTGTAGTAGTAGTATACTAAAGTTTCGTCTACAATTAAGGCTAGTGTACAGTGTTTATGTACAGTCAATGGAGATTTGATCATGACGGTATTCGTTTGAAGTGATTTTATGCCAACGCTATCTATCTTCTTTTTGTATAACTATCAACTATCTAAAGCAGCGCTATCTATTAGTTAGGACATTAACAAATTAGTCAAAAATCCCGAATTATTAACATAAAATTCTAACAGATGGCACTGTTCAGCGATTTAATTTAGTTTGAGATTTCTATCAAAGATGGCGTTACCTGCCTCCACAAAATAAGTATGTACTTTTTAAATATTTTAGTTACTGTTAATGGTAGGTACTGTTAGAGAAATCTTATTCAATTTATAATAAGATAAATACATTATAATATATTATTTTATAATTAAGTTATCAAACGTAAACTTCAAACCGGTTTCGTGGAAACAAGGAAGGAGAAACAAAAAAAAATCTCAACTGTCACTACTGTCAGATTTTTCGCAAGAGAGTATCGTATGCGTGTTGTGAACATTATTTTGCAAAATAGGCTTTTATTATTTTTGATTAAAATTGTTATAACTAGTTTAATGTAGTAAGCTATTGCAAAATTTTAGTCGTTAGTGTTTACTCTTGTTATAAAGTGCCGTTGCACGTGTAAAATTCGTACGAGCGGTGGACTGCAACCTACTTTGTTCCTGTTGACCTGTGCTGCACTGTGATTGTTTTAAAAGGTAACGGTTACAATATTTACATTATTTTGTTTCTAAACTATAATAAAACATACTTCCCACAGTACGAGTTCACCTCGTTATCACAAAGATGGATATTTCTCGTGAATTTTAGTTAGTTTCCGATTGTTTTTCTCCGTTATTCTCGAGTTCGGTTGTGTTATCGTCGACGTTTTGTTTTATTATTATGTTATAGGCGACAATGTAATTTCCATAGCGTTATCTTATTACAAAATCTTTCCGTTACAAATTGTATATTCGAGAAATTTCGTTATGTTTCATTCATTTTTCGTGATTACTCACACATTTCAAGTTGTGTTTGGTTATTAACACAATTTATTACTCTGCACATGTTTGGAATGGCGGTAAATGTTGAATACCCTGGAGTTTATGGACTGTAAACAGTAGTCTATTATTTAATAAACTTTTACCCACTTATTGGTATTGTTTACAAAGATAATTGTACTTGTTTATTATACAATCTGACAACAGCTAATATAAGAATATAAGAATAAAAGTACTTTAACATATGTAGGTACCTAAAGTCTAAATTTTATAAAGTACTAGCCATATATAAAGATATAAATAGAAATGTTTCCCCTAAACAGCAGATCTGTAACCTTCAAACTAATTACTGGTCAATTTAGAAGTGTTATCTTTAAAAACAAATCCAATAACAACAACAAAACGAAATATCTTCAACAACAATATTGTTACAATTTATTTTAATGATTGTGTTAACAAAAATAAATTACTGAAGGTACAACATTGTCATAGTTTCACAAAATGTAGTTCAAAACAAATAATTAAGGCAAGTTTCCTTTTGTTGTTTGACCATAAAGTCAAGTCTAATGGAAACTTGCCCTTTAACTGTTCTGTGTTGGTAATTGATACCAATTAAGAGTTCTATGGATGTACTTTTCTCACTTACAATGTAAAATTTGAAGAATAAGTTTTGTAATAATGGTAGTAGTTAAGTAAGTTGTGTACTTCAGATCATCTATAAATGCCAGGGCCTATTTTACACTAGCTGATTTATGCTAACTTATGGATATAGGAAAAATATGGAACCACTTATTGACCTATTATAGAAAGCAAACCATTACCTACAAAATTACAGGATTAACTACAATATCAATAAATTAGCAATGGGCCAATTTGCCGTAGTGCCGTAGTGTCCCCCCTCCTTCAATCTTCCCAATCCCTGAATCCCTAACAATCTTCAGATTCTTAGTCCCCAAAAGGCCAGTAACACACTTGTAACACCTCTGGTATTCCAAGTGTTCATGGCCGATTGTTTACCATCAGGTGACCCGCTTATCCCATAAAAAAAAAACTATGATAAATATAATTAATCCCAAAACCACACACAAACTAACATGGTCTACTCATTACAACCAGGACCAGTCATCTTTCCTACACACAACAATAACAAAAACAAATGACAAATTAGATGACACAACACCCAAGGTCACCATTCACTGGTCAGTTGAAGTGAGGAAATAATAAATCTCTACTACCTCTGGTTTGGACAAGGGACCCTACCGCTATATTTAGACACACAATTGACTTGTTACTCTGAGATCCTGTTACACAAGCTTCTGACAAGGAAATCCTTGTCCTTTCCTGGTACTTTAGTCTTTTTTGAGATTGTAAGGAATGTCTAGGTTTGTGTGGACTAGTATTTTAAGTTGTAGGTAGTATTTCTATTATGGATGAGACATTTATTCACCCTGAACATTTAAAATAAGTGAACAAAGAAACTTGCCAAAAAGAGTAAAAGAATGCTCCAGTTCTAGTTTTATAACTTTTTTCAAAATATAGCATTAATAAGTAAAAAAAGTTTTGCAATTAGGACCAGTTAAGTACCTGTTTGGATTTTTTAGTAAAATAAAGTTCAGATCTTAGTCTCAACAACTTATTGCATAATTTTAGTTTAAGCCTAAACATCTATAACTAATATGATTAATTACGCTGTGTATTTTACTAATCAAAGTAAAATAATGTACCTAGCCTAGGATTCCAGGACCTAGATATTCAACACTACTACCTACAAGATAAAACAAATTCATTTATTTTCCACGAAACAGTTGCATTATTGTTATAATGAATAAATATAATCTATCACTGTCTACTCAAGTAGAAGGAAAAAGGTCCATAACTTCATTGGAAACGCTTGAAGATCACCCTTGTGATTGATAACAGGCTAATCTTATCAGAGTTTATTGAATCTAGCGTCTATCTAGACAAAATAATGATACCTATCGCATGTTGACTTGGAAATGTAGTACAGGAATGATAAACAATATGCAGTTATAGTTATTGTTAATTTAATGACCCGTTAACTAAGGGATGATTTTTCAATCAACAGATATTTTAACTGTAGAATAAAATGGACATTTAAAAAGTTCTTAGTAATTACCATGGAAGAATTGTCAAAATAATATTAAAAGTTATTCCTCTAATATGCCAGATATATAAAATTTATCTGGCGTTTCAAAAATAGGTCCCTAGTTTACGGTCAATAGAATAAGAGATAATTTTGGACATAAGGTTCATGCAAAATTGTATATTTCTTTCTCTGTATCTACCAACAGATCAATTTTAAAGAGTCACCATTGGTTTGCCAACTAGATATAAACTATTGGTTTATCTCATTAACTAGATATGACACATTTTGTATATGATAGGTAGGTTATTGACACTACCCATAAAGAAGTTGTGTAGTTTCATATTTTATGTCATGCTCAAAAGGAGAGCTATGCATTTGCAAGTCCATTTTTTATCATTAATGTTGATAGTTCGATTGTATGTTAACAGTAGCATAATACCTATGTTCTTTAATATATTAAATCCATTTATCGTCACAGAGATAGCATAGGAATTTCTTCATACTTATTTTTAGCTACATGATGTCATTTTAGCATAGAAACCTCACATTATAGGTCAGTCTTATTTTTTTGTATGGCAACTTATTTTACTACAAGTTAATGCGTTATCTTTTTTTAATTTCTTTGTTAATTTACTCAACTATAAAATTAAATTTCTTATCTAATTGACCTAGTCATATTTCGTGATTGTAATTGAACTTTTTACTTTAGGTTCACAAAAAGTAATTAATCATTTCTTACTCCATTCTCTCAATTATCTTTTTTTAGGGCTAATTAGTTTGATAATTGTTACGAAAATAAACTCAGATTGTTATTATTTATTGTTGTTATCATGTGAGTCGAAATCGCCGTTGTGCAACAATGGCTAATAAAAAAATCATGTTAATTTGATCAGAGACAAAAGCGGTTTGTTATAAAATAACGCATTATTTTATTGAATATGATATTAATTTTTTCCCTTCCATAATAAGTGCTCACAATAAACAAAGATATGTACCAACACCGTCTAAAATAAAATTGATCACTTAGGTAATTGAATTGTTTTTTGGCGGGAATTTGAAAAGAACTATCCGCCATCTTTGGTTTGAACCGTTGTAGAATTCAATGAATTGTTACCTACTGAGTAGGTATGCTTATCCTGTTCTAGTATTTACCTTTACTTAGTTATAAAATTATGACGACACTGAATGACTCACAATTATACGCAGCGCATATTTCTTTTACAATTAACTAACTATCGCTTTACCACAGGAATTTCGCGCCATACAAACTAAACTGTCTGCTGTATAATGTTGTGGCTTATTTGCGTTGTTGTTTTTTAAGGAACGTCTGTAAAATAATCTTGTGTTGAGGTTTACCTCACAACTTTTTTAATGATGGTCCGTTGTTGCTGACCCTGCCTACCATTATGTGATGTAAGGTGATGTTAGAAAGTATGATTCCTTAAAAATGTCCTATCTAAATACCAGATCTTTGAAAGTTTATTCAACTGTACTCTTGCACATAATATCATCACCCATTCTAGTGTGAGAGATCCATGCTTCGGCATGAATGGGCTTGCTCGACCGGCATGATACCAGATACCACCCACGGCCGAGCAGAAAACCGACGTGAAGCAACGCCACCGTTGTGTTTCGTCGTGTGAGTGAGGTTACCAGGGACTCAAATACTCTCCTTCTCTTCCCGAATCTCCCCAATCCCCGAATCCCCAACGATCCTCAAACTCTAAATCCCCAAAAGGCCGGTAACGCACTAGTAACGCCTTTGGTGTTCCAGGTGACCATGGGTGACGCCGATTGCTTACCACCAGATGGTCCATTTGCACGTTTACCGGCTTATGCCATAAAAACCCATTTTGCTCCAAAAATAGTATTAGGGGAAGAGTCAACGGAGTTTTTATTCCAGACTACTAAATTCAAAAGAATGCCTCTAAAAATTCATAACTGCATTTCTTAGAAGATTTAGATGATACAACCGAGATAGCGATAACTCGCTTAGTCAAAGTCAAAGTCAAAGTCAAAGCGTTTATTGCAACTAAGTGTACAGATGGTGGTTATAAAATTATTACAGTGCTTAATACTTAGCGGCCTCTTACAGACATTGCAACATTTTTAGTTATGTAGGTACACATTCATTGTTATTAACATTGTAGGTAGATATTACAAATCATAAAGAAAAGAAAAAAAAATAATAATTGTCAGGTATTTATGTCACATCATAGTAATAATCAATTCAATCGGTATAATTGCTGTCGAGTTTAGGATGTCAATAATAAAATTATACAATGTCAAGGTATTTCAATGTTATGTTATGTCGAGTAGGTATATACATTTCGTTTGTATAGGGCAGATCGACGGTTCCCACATGAATTAAAATTATTTTATTTTGGACTCTAAATATTCCGTCACTGAGTAGAAGCATTCTTTTATTAGGTATATCTTTAATCGTTTTTGAAATACTAATATTGATTTTTCAGATTTTAATCCATCTGGCAATTTATTATATATTTTTATAGCCATATAGTATGGACTATTAGTTAACATTTTTATTTTTGATGGTGGCGCACATAATCTTTTTTTATGGCGCGTGTTGACGCTGTGTGTATCTTCTACT